TCCTGTGCCACCTCATAATTCCGCTAAACTCAAGTCATTGTTGTGGTTACAGTGTCAGTACAGCTTGCTGAGGACTTTTCTCTTTTTTTACTGACCCTTTATTTTCTCAAACATATCTTTTTCTAAAGATTAGTGTTCCCTGACATCATATTCTAAATATATGAGATGACGTTTCACCATTCTTCCTTCTAATGTTGAGCACTCTGGTTTCACTTATTCCAAGACACATGTGTCCAGTTCATAATAGATTCAATATTCTTTCCCAACTCCATGTTTCAAAGGCAATGATTCTTTGGTCTTCCTTATTCATTGACCAATTTTAACATGCATATAAAGCAAATGAAAATATGAGGGCTTTATTGGGCACATTCCAGTCTTTATGGTGGCATCCTTGCTCTTTGCCATATTCTAGAAGTCTGTGATGGCACATTTGCCCAGCAGGTTGGATAAAATGGGCAGATTCACTCGGCCACTGCTTGAAATTGCTCAAAATACAATTGGTGTTTCAAGTGGCAGCCTGAACACGATAAGTTATTAGCATTATCTTTTATTCCTTAAGGAAATAAATTACAGAAGAAGTTAGACTTTATAAGTTTAGAACTGTACAATAATATGGAAACTAAAAGTTTATACTATTATTATTATAAGTCTTAAGAACCAAATAAGTGGTCTATGGCTATGTCCAAGCTTATTTGTGTTGCGGTAGGATCAGGAATGATCAAGAAAGACACAAGTCTGAGTATGATTGAAGTGTTTATAAATTTGGAAAGTATTCTGGTTATTGCAGTGATTCATTAGCTGTTTTCTTAACCAGTAATGTCTATCTAGTTGTCTTTGCTGCTTGAATTACATGATAAATTTATCAAAGCTAGAAAGTTATAAAAGTAACTTCTACACAGTTTAAAAAGGCAAAATATAAGAGTGGCTAAATAAAGTGTCCAAGTGTTCAAACTCATTGCTGCAGGTTAGAATCCAATTATAGATGACCCTTCAGTGGGTTTTCAGAGGCAATAAATTGCATGGAAGATTGACCAGCGTTCTCCTTTGGAGACAATGGTGGATTCGAACTGCTAAAGGGGCACTGTTTGGGGGCTGGCAGTGCAGCTCCCTATGGTGTAGGCTATCATAGCTCCCTCTAAGAACTGGCAAAATTCCTTACTTTCATCAACAGAAAATTCTGATGTTCTAATGTTGATGTATCTGTTTGTTTGACATCTCTTCTCTGATTAATGTTTAAAAAGTTAACATTCTTCTGGAACATTCAGTAAGAAAATTATGTTTGCTAATTGGTTAGATTATTCATTACTAACTGACAAATAACAGCATTTTGCTAATCATGCTAATAATGAAATGCCAGTTTAGAGAATTATTAATATAATTTCAGTAGGTAACTGTTATAAAGATTTATCTTAATATTTTCTAGTTAAGCTTCTGAGTGTTTTCAACAAAAGTAAGAATATGACATAATTTCAATTAAAGTTTGTGGGAAATCATTCTAGGTAGGCATCCATACTTTTGATAAAGAAGCAATTCATTAGGCTTCTTTGTTTTAGGTTAAAATTCTTAAGGACTCTCTCACAAATAAAGCTAGCTTTTAGAAAACAAAGAAACAAAACAAACAAGTAAAAACTGTAGACAAATGAGTTTTCACCAGGTGATTTTACTTTTGAAATATTTTTAAAATGTTTTTTTTTTCTCTTGATTCCATTACCCTGGCCTTAACTCAGAACATTGTTATCTTTTTTTTTTCCTGAGGACAGTGTACCTTATTGATGGTACGTGACAAGATGGGCTCTCCAAGCCCCTTTCTTTTCTCAGGGGGATTGAATGGAAACTGTGTCAAAGATGTGAGATTCTCGGTGTGTGGGAGGATCTAGTTGGGGCAAGGACTCCCCAGCAGCTGAGGGTCTCTCTCTCTTCTAGTGCTATTGCTGGGGCTGGTGGTCCAAGGGGCTCTTATTCTTTGGAGGCCATGTGAACCATCTGGTCAACCACCCGGTTGTCCTACCAGGAAATGTCATATCAGGAAATGAGTTTGACAAAGTCGTCATTCAGGGCAATTCCAGCCCCAGCATCAAAGGTGGAAGAGTGGGTGTCATTATTAAAATTTCACAGGAAATAACCTGGTCTTCAGTGTATCCCAGGATGCCCTTCAGGAGCCCTTCTGATGCCTGCTTTACTACTTTCTTGATGTCATCATATTTGGCAGCTTTCTCCAGACGGCAGATCAGGTCCACAACTGACACATTTGGGGTGGGAACATGGAAAGTCATGCCGGTAAGTTTCCCATTCAGTTCAGAGATGACCTTAACCACAGCCTTGGCAGCACCAGTAGATGCAGGGATGATATTCTGGGCAGCTTCATGACCATAACACCACAGCTTTCCAGAGGGGCCATCCACAGTCTTCTGGGTGGCAGTGATGGCATGGACTGTGGTCATGAGTGCCTCTACAATGCCAAAGTTGTCATGGATGACCTTGGCTAGGGGAGCCAAGTAGTTGGTGGTGCAGGAGGCATTGTAACAATCTTGAGAGAGTTGTCATGCTTTTCATGGTTCACACCCATCACAAACATGGGGGCATCAGCAGAAGCAGCAGAGATAATTACCCATTTGGCACCACCCTTCAAGTGAGCCCCAGCCTTCTCCAAGGTTGTGAAGACACCAGTGGACTTCACACATCCTCAGCACCAGCATTACCCCACTTGATGTTGGTGAGATCTTGCTCCTGGAAGATAGTGATGGCTTTACCATTGATGACCAGCTTCCCATTCTCAGCCTTGACAGTGCCATTGAAATTACCATGAGTGGAATAATATTGGGACATATAAACCATGTAGTTGAGTTCAATGAAGGGGTCACTGATGGCAACATCATCCACTTTGTGAGAGTTAAAAGCAGCCCTGGTGACCAGGCACCCAATGCAGCCAATTCCATTTACTCTGATGCAGAGAGAGAGCCCATTGTTATCTTTCACAGCACTATTACTGTAGTCTGCTATGGACTGTCATTGGTATGCTGTTGTTGTTAGTTGCCACCGAATAGAGTACGACTTAGAGTGACCCTATGAGCAACCAATTTGAACACTGTTCTATTCTGTGCTGTCCTCACAATCTCCAACATACCGAAGCCCATTGCTGTAGTCACTGTATCAGTTCACTTGACTGAGGGTCTTCTTCTCTTTTGCTGCCCCTCCACATTTCCAAGCATGTTGTCCCTCTCCAAGGAATAACCTATCCTAGTAATACGCCCAAAGTAGGTGAGATGAAGCTTCATCATTTCTGTCTCCAAGGAGTGCTTGGGCTGCACCTTTTCTAAGACTTATCTCTTTATTCTACTCTTCTTCAATACCATAGGTCAAAGGAATAAATTGTTCTTCTGTCATCCTTTAGTCATTGTCCAACTCTCAGATGCATAGCAAGCACCTGAAAACACCATGACCCGAATCAGGTGCACTTTTGTCGTCAAACTGACATCAGTATTCCTCAATGGTTTGGAGAAGTCCCTGATATCAGACTTCAGTGCCATGTCTCCTCATCTCCTGAATACTGGTACCAAGTATCTAGATTGTGGATCCAAGTAAGATGAAGTTGCTAACAGTCTAAATCTTTTCTCCACCCATCATGGTGTTGCCTATTGGTCCAGTGGCAAGGATTTTTATTTTCATGAAGTTAGGTGCAGTCCATTTGAAGGTTGCAGTATTTAACCTTCTGTAGCAAGTGCAAGTCCTTCTCACTGTTAGCAGGCAAAGTTGTGTCATCTACATAATGAAGGTTATTGATGAGTCTTCTGCCAAACCTGATTCCACGTTTTTCTTCATAAAGTCCAGCTTCTCAAAGAATTTGCTCAACATACAGATTAAATAGGAATGGATAAAGGATACATCCTGATACACACATTTCTTAATTTTAAATCATGCAATGTTCCCATGCTCAGTTTTCACAACAGCTTCTTGGTCTAGGCATAGACCAAGATTTTACATGAGCACAGTCAAGTGTTCAGGAATTTCCATTCCTCTCAATGTTAGCCATAATTTGTTATAATCTACACAGTAAAATGCCTTTGCACAGTCAATAAAACACAAATAGACATTCTTCTGGTATTCTTTGCTTTTAGCTAGGATCCATCTGACATCAGCAATGATACATCTGGTGCCACATTGATATGTGGTGCCCTTAATGAAATATTCCCATGATACCACACTACTAACAAGGGAAAAAAATCTGAATTCTTAAGTCTGCTTATGAGGTTTTCTACAATATGAGCTTCCTCAGCCTCTTCAGCAGCTTTTATTTCTATTCTATGTATGCTAATCGCAGTGAACTATCCCTACCTCCCTGCACATATGTATTGCATTGTATTTTTCACAAAGATGAAGTCCTATTCCTGCACCTGTGTATGAGATCTTTTTTGAATATAGAGATTCTGAAGGTATTTGCAGATGGGTTAATATGAGGTCATGCTGGCATAGGGTGGGTACTAATTCTGTATGACTGGTGTCCTTGAGGGAAAGTGAGACAGTTCAGACAGAGAAAGGACAGCGTGGTAGCCTGAAGCAGCAAGTTAAAGAACACTTAGCACTATCAGAAGGTTAGAGGGAGCTCTGGTGGCCTAGTGGGTAAGGAATAGCACTACCAAGTAAAAGTCAAGAGTTTTGTATCCCTCCGCTGCTCTGTGGGAGAAAGATGGGTACTGTCCTCGTGTACAAATTATGTAGCCTCTGAAAACTTCCTGGACGGTTGGCCATGAGTCAGTTCCTTCTCAACGGCACCTAACAACACTGCCAGAAGTTTGGAAAGAGGCATGAAGACATTCTTACCTCAAGTCTCAGAAGGAATCAAAATAGTCAACACATTGTCCTTAAAATCCTATCTTCTAAAAGTTGGAGAGAGTAAATTCTGTTTAGTTTTTTATTTTATTTTTTAGTAAATTCTGTTTTAAACCGCACAGGCATTTTCCTCCATTTGCTAGCATAATCTCCTCAGATTGTAGGTTCTCAGGTCTTATCTTTCGCTGGATCATTTACTATCTACAGATAAACTTTTTAAAAAATTAGCTTTCTGTAGATGGTGGATTATCTGGCAAAAGACTCCGTCATCCCATCATTCTTTGGGTTTGCCTAGGCTGCTTCCTTTTCTTTGTACGTAAAAACAATCATTACATTAATAAGCACATCATAGTAAAGTTTTGTTCACCTCAGTTTTCTTAGTATGTGAAACATTGTGTTAGGCACTCAAGAAGTAGAATCTTCTGTCACTTCTGCTCAATGTAGTACAAATGAATTTTAGAGCAAATTAAAAGGAGTGCTTACTTGTACTTGATGTTGGCTTGCTGTAAGAAGGCTAACAGGGCCTGGGAAGCATTTTGGGGAACATGGACATCAGTGACGGTTCCTTCGGATACATAGGAGACACTGCTGGGCTGCCACAGGTCCACCTGTAGTGCAGGAACCAACCTATAATTCACATCCAACCTATAATTCATATCCAGGAAAAATCCATGTCACAAGGTCAAACATGGTATCTTGTTTGCATACAGTAAACACCAAACACATTAGGGGTTTAGAGCCAGTGCTTGCATCAGTAGGGTAAAACTTCTACTTGAGCTTAAATTTGGGCTCCAAATCACATCATGCCTTTTTGATTATAATGACAAGGGATAGTTTCAGGACCAAAACACAAAAGCCACAAGTTAACAATGTGATCATTTCATTTTAAGCATAACATTGATAATATTTTAAAATTATTTTTTATATGATTATTTGGATAACTTAAAAAAGTATTAAGATCTTAACTATCAGTCATGATAATACATACACATACACACACGCACAGAGAATGTATTAGCTTGACGGGTTTGGCAATTTTAAATAGAACATTCTCAATTTGCTTCCTCCTCTCCTAACATGCTCTTTTTAGGTCTTTTTCAATTCCTAGTTTGTCTTCTTCATATTTCAAGTAGAAACATGCCTTTCTCACAGGTCTCCATGTCATAGCTCTTAGAACACATTCAGCTTCCTTTATTCATTAACTTCCTTTTACTAGAACATAAGCAGGGAGCTCTGGTGGCCTAGCAGATAGGGAGTTTCATTGCTAACCCAAAGGCAAGTGGTTCAAATCCGCCAGCTGCTTTGTGCGAGGAAGATGGACAATCTCCTTCCATACGATTTATGACTTTCCCAAGCCTTCTGGAGGGTCAGCTATGACTCAGTGCTGGTTCCAGTGACTCAATTCCAATGAAAGAGTGAGAATGTAATCTCTGGGAAGGTAAAGGATTTGTCCATTTTGTTACCATTCCACCCCAATTGTATACAACAGTGCTTTGTACCTAGTAGCACAATTATAATTTGTTGCCTGAGTGCTGAAGGCAGGGAGTAATTCACTACATGATGACTGTTCAGCTTTATGGGAAAGCAGGAGCCATACTTGTTCTATTTGCTGTGGTATCTTCAGTTTCCTTCCCAGTGTTCGACATCTGGTTGTCGTTGTTGCTATCACTGGGCCAGAACCAACTCACAGGTGACCTTCCAGCAGGTTCTCAGAGTCAGTTAATTGTACGAGAGGAGACAGCCCATCTTTCTCCTGCTGAGCAGCTGGCGTATTTGAACTGTGTGCCTTTAGGCTGGCAGCACAATTCCTTATAATTAGGTCATAAGAGCTCCCTAGACATCTGGTAGAAGCCCCAAGTTTACTGGAAGGCTGAAGTCAGATGGGAGGGAGGAGTGTTTGTCTCGCACAAGAGCCTGGGGCAACATTTTCAATTAGGCACAGTCTGTGTAGTCTGGTAGACCTTGTCTCTGTCTGCTGTGGGACTTCTTCTCCTTGCATTTCCAGTCTTGGTCCTGCTGCAGGGCTGTGATCTCTTATTGGCCCTAATCTGATAAACGTTTAGTTACTTTACCTTCACTTGGGATGTCAGTGTCTGCATTATGTTAGGAAGCTCAAGACCAAAAATACTTAAGGCTCAGAAACAAACTTCTAATGGTATCGTTGAATCTGCAAAAGAATGGAGAGGAGTGGTGTGTATTTTGGGACAGAGCCTTACCTGTTTCCTTTCTACCTGTTTAGTTGAGTCCTGCACTAACTCACAAGGGCACATCTGACTCAGAGGACATAACAAGCCAACAGTCATAGGAGAGCCACAGCGCAGGGCTGGGAGGAGACTCTGAGAGCTCATCTGACCCATCTGTCAGCCTTTGGGCAAGGATATATCTAGGACTGTGCCGAAGTGTCCTCAATCGAGGTGTCGCGACCACATCTTCGAAGTCTCTGGAAGGGGAGAGCTGACGCCATTCCAGTTTAACCCACATCCCCATTCAGCAAGCTTGCCAGATGCTTTTCTCAAGTCCTCACACTGCAGCACAATTCTGTTTTCTCATGTTCTGCTCTTCAGTGGGATACGACCAGTTTCCTTTCTTTGTGAGATAATGCTTATTGGCATCTTTCATTTTTATTTATATGTGTGATTCTCCAATCCCTTAATCATTCTAGGGGTTTGCCTGTAAGCCCTAAAATGTGAGAGAGACAGACTTTTTGGTATTAAGGCAAACAGTTTGCTGTTTTTCTTTAATGCCAGTGGAGATGAAAAAAAAAATAGTTCTGTATCCAGAAGGTAGAAAACCACATGTACCTCAATATCATGAATTATCCCTCCAGAGACTGTTCTCTAGCTTGTATCCACATGACAGAATTAGAATCCTTATCTCCCAGGAGAGAGGAACTGCCCCATCACGGAGTTCCTACAGTCTGACCTCAGATGACTTCTGAGGAAACAGGTGGCCTTTAGGACAGGCAGCAAAAAAGAAAAGAACTTGCTAAATTAGGAACTACTCAGTCACTTTTGCTCTACTAATACCATAGACAAAGTGTGCTTGGATGCTTTACATGGATATTTAAGTCTGTGTGGCAGACAAATTCCTATATCTAGGAGCTAAAGATGAATGATGTCTGTTTAATGATTAAGGTATGCCTAATCCAAGAGATAATATTTTCAGTTGCTTCCCACCTATCTGAAAGTTGGACAATGAATAAGGATTACTGAAGAAGAATAGATGCCTTTGAATTGTGGTTGTATTGGCAAAAAAAATACTGAAATATCCCATAGACTGCCAAAATAATAAACAAGACTGTTTTGGAGGAAGTATAAGCAGGGTACTCCTTAAAGGCAAAGTTGGTGAAACATCAATTCACATACTTTGGGTATATTGTCAGGATGGACCAGTCCCATGTAAAGGACATCATGCTGGGAAGGTGGAGCTTCAGAGAAAGAGGGAAAGAGTCTCAACAAGAGGGATTGACCCAGTGCCTGGAAGTGGGCTGGAACATGGCAAGCGACTCGATGGCACATAACAACAACAGTCCCAAGAGTGTTGATTGTGGAGCCAAACAAACTAAAGCTGTTAACAATCTCAATCTCTTCACCATCCATCATGATGCTACCAATTGAAATTATTATTGAGGATGTAGAAAATACCATGGTTTAGGGTGTGCTTTCTGGAACTAGGAAGTTTGAATTTGAGTCTAGATCTGTCACTTACTGGTTGTGCAATATTGGGGAATTTACTATAGCAGCTCTCTGGCTTCAATGGGGTTACTCACAGTACATTTATTATAGAGTAACTGGGAGAGTTAAATTAATTAATACATGTGAAGTTCTTAAATGAGTGCCTGGTGACATGGAGGCATCTATCAAATGATAAATGATTCAATAAAAAAAGAATTTCTTTGCAACCTTAAAGGCATCATAGTTCAGTCTGACTCTTCTGATGCTGTTGCAGTCCACTTCTCTTCACTTGGGGCTGACTGCACAGCTGCTCCAGGTGCCCGGGAGTGTGGACGACAGAAGCTCTGTGTGCACCATACATGTGGAAGACATTTTCCATGTTCTTTCAACTTGGGAACGGAAGCCAACCTTCCAGCTCAGAAAAGGCCAGTTCAGCTTTTCTTTTATTTTTTTCTGGGTTTGTAAAAGTATTGAATAAGCAGTGCAATCATATACCTGACAGGTTTTAGACTTGCTATCAAACTTTCAGTGTACTAGAATTTATAATTTATGTAATCATAGTAATTCAAAGGTTAGTGCATGTAACCTGTTTATCCAAGAATGAGAGCCTTATTTTCTTTTTAGAACCTCCTCTAAGAAGCTTTTCAGACCACCAGCTTAGTTTTTGTTAGGCACCATGGAGTCAGTTCTGACAAGTAGTGACCTCTTGTACAACAGAATGAAACCCCGCCTGATCCGGTGCCTCCTCGCTGTCAGTACTGTGTGCTGCAGTCATCATGCCAATCAGCCCCATTGAAGATCTTCACCTCTTTCACGAACCCTCAACTTTTCTAAGGACTGACCTCCTTACAGTATGCCTGAATTGTGTGAGTTTTGTTATCCTCGTCTCTAAGGAACACTCTTGTTACACTTTCCCCAAGACAGATTTGTTTGTTCTTTTGGAAATTCATTGTATATTTAATGCTCTTCATCTACTCCACAATTCAAAGGCATCAAATCTACTTTGGCCATTCTTATTCATTGGCCTATTTTTATATGCATGTGAAGCAACGGAAAATACCATGATTGGGCCAGGTGCACCTTAGTCTTTAAAGTAGCATCCTCTCTCTGAAACACTATAAAAGCTCCTGAGTCAACTTTAGGTCAAGTGTTTCTGCTATCCGCGTTGAGTATTTTTGTATACTTGCATTCATGAGGGAACTCTGGTGGACTAGTACATAGGGAGATGCAGTATGAACCCAAACTCTGTGCTTCTCTGGTGATTTGAGTTCACCAGAGGTTCTGTGGTTAAAGATGGATAATCTCTTCCTGTGCAATGTATAGCTTCAGAAAACCTGCTTGAGGGTCACCTATTAGTTGGCTCTGACTTGCTGATTTATTTTTAAGTTGCTTTTATATAATAATTGTGTTTCTTTCACATCCTTTATAGTTTTTAACTTATATTTCACTTAATTATATATACAACCATAATAATATGATCATATTAATATCAGTCTTCTCTATTATCTACCTCAAAGAAAGTAGAATCTGTGGAAATTTTTCTCTGCATATCCTTATATTTATCACCAGGCTTGGCATGTAACTAGCTCTCTAGCCATCTAGGACAGAGTAGATGTTCCCTGTAGAGTTTCTAAGTTTCTAAGGCTGTAAATATTTATAGAAGTAGACAGCTACAGCTTTCTCCTCTCGAGTTGCTGGAGTTTTTGAAATAGTGAATTTCCTGTTGCCTTTAGCCACTCTACCACTAGAGGTCCTTGAATGGCCCCAAATAAGTACTCAGTTATTATTTTTTGTACAATTGAGTTGGTACTGACTCATAGCTAAATTCCCATCATGTGTTCAGAGACAATACACCACATAGGAGCAGATTGCTTTTGGGTTGGCAGCACTACTCTACATCTCTAAGCCATGACAGTTTATTAAGGAATAATTTA